TTGCAACAGGGTAAACATGGCAAACGGCAAATTCAAAAGTGAGCTTGAAGACCCAACGAACGCACGACAATTGGCGGCGTCCTCGGCGCTAGGGGCGCCACGGCTTCGCTTTTCTAGGTAAATGTCCACCCCAAACGCACGTATGTGTAGGGTGTTAAAAGGGTTAAGCGTGAGTGCATGCAGCTAACACCTGGACGCAAACAAGGTTGCACAAGCTTCAAGAGAGCCGTATGTCAGCCGTCGAGTGATTGGCCAGAAAAGAACTCTGGCAACAGAAACCCATCGTTGACGCGCGAGGCTTGCCATTACGAGTGCGGGTGGGTGGGTGGGCCCAAATGGGAGTCCAAAATCATCGCTGGTCGGTAATCTTCTTCCATGTCACGGTTGGCTCCACATTATGCAAAGTTTAAAGTTGCGCCACCAAGAACCGCCTTAATACGGGGGGCCGACGTCGATATATATGTGTGGCGATCTAATTGTCGCAATATGCGACTGCACCCGTGAACGCCGCCACGCATTCTTCCTTGCATTGCCAACTTGGATGGTATTTTCTGGAGGGGGCCATCGAACCAATTGTCAAGCGGCCTCCCTTGGGCTGCCTTTTTAAAACACTGCGAGTTCTTCGCATCCTTTCGTTTGGAGGCTTGCTTTCGTGCCAACTGAGTTTGAACGAGCAATGTGGTCTCACTCATTTTTCCGACGACGTGTCCCTGCACCAGCTGAGGGGGACAGCTCTTCTGTTAACGTATTCAAAGGTCCAACGTGTGCGTCAATTCAGGTGTACCGTTCCTGCACAATGATAACTCAAGTCAGAGGACATGTCCCAGATCCAACACATTTTTGCGATGATTCACACCCGCCCCCGTCGATGCATTCGAACCTCTGCATACACGGTGGAGTTGTCTACGTGGAGCTTGCAAGTGGACACGAAGCTGTGTGAGGGACTTTTCCGTCGGGCGCCGCGTGGTTCAACCTTGGCATGGCTCAGCTCCATGTCGAACTTTTTCGACGAGGGGGAGGATTCCATTCTCCAGTCCGAGTGGCGCATTGGATGGTGTAGTTCCGGCATCTCCAATTGAGATTGGATGTGTCCCGCGAACTCGCATCAAACTTGTCGAGATTGACTCAAGTTCTAAACCGCACCTTCAAAACAACGTAGTGATTTGGCATAATGGAATTGACACCAGCCACTTGTCTGCATTCGCCTTTGACTGAATCGAGGCACGTACTAGTACTGGTACACCCACGTTTACAACGACGTCCAAGCAGTCAGTCTGATGTACATGGTGATATTGCCGAGAGCACAGTGACGTACTATCGGACGGGCGATGTTGCGACTGCGAGCGACGGATTAACCCTCACGAAATGGTTCGAACGCTCACCTGTGTGCAGTGTCATTCCAGTGAAGTCTCACGAAGCATATGCTTTCAAAACGCACGAGGCTGTACAAGTATAGCATCAGCAAATTCACGTCGGATATCACAACAGGTGGACCACACATTTTTGTGGGTCCCATTTGCGGTAATGATAGTTTGAAGCCAGCGTGGCGTGTCTGCTTGGTTCATGCATGATGAGGCGAGGTTTAAGCTCAACTTTCACGCTGGCATGGACACCAGCAGGTCCAGTTTCGAGTGGTTCGAGAGTTGGTCACCCAACACAGAAAACGAAGCATGCCGACTGCTTCAAACGATGCTCAAGCCTTCGTACTAGGTTGACCATTCCATATCACGTGGATGTAGGGCATGCCCTTGGCCAGGGGGTGCACAGTGCGTACTTTGATGGCACAGGGCGTTGCAGCAACATCTTGGGCATTGAGGACAGAAATGAATTTACGCCCCCAGCATCATGTTCCACCTCACCACAAACTTCGAAGGATACAATCTTGCTGCACTTGTCTTCAATTG